CCGTGGGATAGTGACTTGGACAGGGCCCTGTATGCGTGGTGTAGAAAGGTTGGGTGGGTGTGCGTGGCTCGGGGTTTGTGACGAGGTTGGATGGGGTGGGAGGTGTGGTGGTCCCACCCATGTGGTGTTCAAAGGTGGCTGTCCAGGGCGTGCCTTGGGCAGGATGGGAACGTTGGTGGTGAGGATGATGGGATCCTCACTGCTGGTGGAAGAGGAATTGGACTGTGGTGGTGCTGAAGTGTGTGGCTTGGTGGGGGAAGTCTCGGATTTGGTGTGTAGGTGCTCGAAGATCTCGTCTTTTGTTTCCATCACAACAGAAGGACTGCGATCCCAGTCCGGTGATTCAGGCTCCATGGATGGAAGGTAGGGCTGGTGAGGTGGCGGACGAGAAAACTGAACAACGTAAATGGCTGCAGAGAAAGGAAATGAAAGGAGTGCAAAAAATCGAAGGCAAAATTGGAGTGAAGTTGAAATAAAGGGACGCGATACTGTTTTTTCCAATCCGCAGTGTTCGCTGTGAAACTCAAGTGTGGAGCGTCGATGTCAGTAGTGGTGTGGTGAAGGTCGAGGGGGAGAGCGGCATGGTGATGGTGTCGTAGAGGCTGTCCACAGCGCATGGTGGAGGTTTCTGCGCTGACTGGTGGTGGCTGGTGTGATGTTGGCCAAAGCTATTGGTTGGGCATAGAGATGTGGGTCTGCGTGTGTGGTGATAGGGAGTCGGTCTCGAGATCGGGATCGATCCCTGCGGTGAAGTTGTCGAAGAAGAGGTGTCGGTGGAGGAGATTGAGTGTCTGCTGGTGGTGGGGCAGGAGTGATGGTGGATTGAAAAGAGGAGGAGAGGTAATTGGAGTGTCCTGGTGTGAAGTGGATGGTAGGATCCATGCGGTAATGTCCCGGTGAGCCTGGTGAACCAGGCAGAAATTGGAGAATGTGAAGTCCTCGTTGGATGTCGTGTGTGGTGTTGATCAGGTGGCGGAGGGCATTGCGGAGCTGTAGGTAAAGTCTGTAGGCTGATGTGTTGGTGAAAGAGGACATCGCTGGTATCGGGTCATGGACTATAGGGTGATGTTGGAGGTCCTCCACGATTGATGTGATGGTGGTGATCATCCAAGTGAGAAGGAGGAGTTCTGGCTGGTGTGTGGCGGATGGTGCCATGTAGGGCATCGGGTTGCCCGGCAGAAAGTGTCCATGGTGGGTTGTAGGTGGATCTGTGTATACGGTGGCTGGTGTCTGAGCCGAGGCGGAGCTCAGCAGCAAATCGTCAATGCGGCGCGTGGTCATGAAAAATAGGCAGGGAGGAAAGCGGTTCAGTGAAATGGCTGCATGAGAAATAAAAGAATCCTGCTATGTGACGGTGAACATGGTGAAATAGAATGGCTTCTGAAACCGTTAAGAAAATCTGAAAAGCTCTTGTTTTCTGTGTGCTCGCCGAGAAGTGTCGGTGAGACGGAGATATGGATCATAGGCCGTGGCAAAGTAGGCAATGCTCGCAAGTGAAGGGGTGTGCCACGCGCGGTCGGCCGCAGCTGCTCCGCAGGCGGGGCTCTGGTAGCGCCTTTGTTGGTGACATGTGAGCTAGCCGGTGTGGGCATCCCGGGAGCGGGAGCGATCTCTGGCACGATTGCGGGTGTTGTGGTTGTTGTGTTGGGATTGGTCGCGTTCTGGAAGTGGAAGGCCCCTCCAGTGGTGGAGAAAGCGGAGAGCGTCTTCTGGTGGTGTACCTGGTCGCGGGGAGGAAGAGTGGTTGGAGGGTGTCGATGGCAAAATGAAATTGGGTGGAGAAGATTGAAGAGTGGCTGCAGTCTCTGGTGGAATGCGTGCGGAGGGATCAATGCGATATTGTCCCGGGAGGCCAGGTTGTCCGGGAACAAATTGGAGCAGTCGTCGGGCTGCGGCGAGGCTGTCGACAAGGCGGTCCAGTAGCATGGTGTCTCGTCTGTATTGGTAAAGTATGTTGTAGGCTCGGTCATCTGTGAAGTATGTTTGGTTTGGCATAGGTTCTGTGTGGAGTGGGTGGCGTCGGATGTGTTGGACGATCAGGAAAAGGATGTCAAGCATACAGTTGAGTGAATGGAGATCTGGCTGATGAGTAATGGAAGGTTCAAGGTAAAATGGGAGGTCGTCCTGGAAGGTAGTAGTTGCCAGCAGTGGTGGCTGCAGGGCGATCGCGGGAGGAGGCCATGTGTGAGGGCAAAAAAGGCTCTAAGTCACGTAAAAAGCTGCGGGACTGTGGTGAGCCCATCGGGAAAACTAAGGCACATGTCGTGAGGTCATGTGTGCAGTATGCAGCAGGGACTGTTTGTAGGCTGGCTTTTTTGAATTCAATAAGAAACCGAAAAAGAAACCGACATGAGATTGATACAAAAGGCATGGAGTGGTGACATGCTAGGTAGTCAAAGAACTTGTGTCGAGAGGCGTGCTGCTGAATTTGTCCGATGGCACGCCGTGGGAAAATTGGGTGAAACTGATCAAATAAAGTAACTGCCAATAGGCGGTTCTGAAGGTGATTCCGGATGCCTAGTCTCACTGGGCGCTCGCGCAGCAGCCGTCTGCGGTGGTAGAGCTTCATGTGTGGATGGAGGGGTTGTTGCTGGTGAGGCTGAGTAGTCAGGTTGTGATCGCTGTGGTGATTTGTTGGCCGCAGTACCTGCCTCCCCCGCATCCTTCATGGATTCCTGCTCCTTGAATGCGTTAACCTTGCGCGGAAATTCACCTATGCCAATCGATGACAAGGCTGCGAGAAGCTTGGCGTCAAGAGTGGTAAAACCTTCAGCGCTAGCTAGACCCTCTATGGTTTGTCCCTCAGTCCATACTTTGTTGATCCACGAGAAAGCTTTGTCCGGCTTAGATGACGCAGCCCTCACTGCATCCCTAACCCTGATCTTCCAGTCGCGATAGCTTTCGGGTTGTGGAAAAGATGGGATCTTGATATGGCCAGCCTCTTTGCTAATCCTCTTACCTCCTAAAACTTGTTCCCCAAACAGTTTACTGTTAGGGGTTCTCAATACTTTAAAGAATGGTCGCCTTGGTGCTGGATGGTCTGGTCGGGTTCCCGGCTGGCTTGTCTCCCACTTCTTTTCATTTGT